AGGGGGGGCCCCCCCGTCCAAGCAGGGGTGCCCCCCCAGCCAGGGCCACCACCTGACCCACCATCCAAGCAGGGGTGACCCACAGCCAGGGGCCACCGCCTGACCCACTGTCCAGCAGGGGTGACACACCATCCAGCAGGGGTGACCCACCGTCCAAGCAGGGGTGACCCACCGTCCAAGCAGGGGTGACCCACCAGCCGGGGCCACCACCTAGGACGGCCCAGCCTAGCCCGGCCCAACAGCAAGGGTGCAAACACAGAAACTTCACCACTTCACGCACACGCAGAAGTCACGTCAGCTACCAACCTGTCGCCGTGCTGCTCGCTAGCTGCTCTGGGCTCCCTGTCTTTCCATCCACGCGCCCAACAAAGGAAATCTGCAGGCTATCTGCAAAGAAAAAAGCAAGCCCAGCTGTTGGTCCTGCCAGCCATCAGCTACCTGTGCAGGGAGGCCAGCCTCCCACGGTGGCCAGGACCCCGAGAAGAGCTCCCCAGCCCGTGACGACGTCCCTAAGTTTCCCTGTTTCGTATCGACCCAAGGCAGCGCAGCGGAAGCTATGGAGCCCCCGAGCCTCCCACCGGACTGGAGCCCAACCCGCAAAGTGGTTTCTCTCCCCCCCAGCTGGGAGCCGGGCGTACAACCCAATCCCCGCTGCACCACAGGCAATGCCGCCCGGCCTGGGCAGAAACCAAAACCCGCTCACATAGGGCCTTCCACAGACCAAAATCTTCATGAGCACGCTCGGTACCTTCTTGGACCCTCAGACTGGCCTAGAAGATGAGACGTGGTTGGGGCTATGCACCAACAAGCTGCTAACAGAAAGCCTAACTGTAATCATCTTTTACATTGAACTGCCTGCCAGAAACCATCTTATCTACAAGAAAGAGAAAATAATCATTCTACGAAACCCAAGCTGCCTCATAGCCACATTTAAGAGGATGAGGCCGCCAGCCTTGATTTTCAGGAGATATCTTGAATATTTAAACCTCACCAGCCTGTGGAGCAGCCCTGCTGTTTGAGGGAACACAGGTCCTGAGCCGCATTATGTTCTCTCACAATGCAAAAAAGTACAAGG